GAGGGTCAGAGAAAAAGAGGAAGAGCCCCAATGATTTGAATTGACACAGTAGCAGCAGCAATGGGCTCAAGCAGAACAACAATTGTGAGGGCAGGGCAGTGTTTCAGTCTGTTGTACATTGGTCACTTTGAGTCGGAAGTGACTCGACGGCACTTAACAACAACATATTACATATTATATCATTATTATACTATAATACAAATTACTATAGTCTACGAATTTTGAAACAAGTTTTCACCATTTCCTTGACAGCAGTCTGCCACCTATCCTCCACCCCGGGATTTTCTAAAATCTTCCATTTATCCTTTGAGTCACTATCAACTGGGGACCAGGCTCACTTTCTTCTAAACCTAACCCATGCCATAGCCTACATTTCCATGGCCAGTGTAAATGACCCATACAACAATTTAGGCTGCGATTTCTGGACCTCTTTAGTTTTAATGACTTTCACCTATAGCCCTCTTCAGTCGCTCACCCTGGAACCTAGATTTTGTCATCCACAAGAACTAAAACACATTCACAACAATATTTTGCTATCTATCTTCTCCCACCTCTCTCACAGTTGGGGTATACTTTTTCTTTGGAATCACAGAGACCTTCAGACCTCTGTTGCACTTTCTCTATGTATATTAGAAAGTCTTATACTGCTTCATTTGATCCTTCATTAAGACAACCAACAAATTACTCAGCATGTATCAGTTATTTCCAGGAGTAACAGAAGGTAATAAAAATCCTGTTTCTTCAAATATCAGTGAAAACTTATTCTTACCTTCATCATGAAAATATCCAGAGGACCTTCTTGTCTTTTCATATTCATATAAGGTGTGCTTGTGTTGGCCCTTATTAACTTTTTTTCTAAAAGGTCTGCTTTATGCTCTGCCTTTTTCCTTTCCATCAGATGTACCCTGTGTAAAATATCAGCAGTAATAGTATCATGACACAACAGAACCAATTCAAAATTTTCAATGAAAAAATAAAAAACATAATACCCTCATTTACAATATATATTTCAAGTAAATCGCTTGAAAACAGTTATCTATTTGTAGGGAGAGACTAGAAGTGACAGAGAACTAGACAGAAAACAATCCAGTATTAGACCTTGTGGTGGGTCCCCTATGGAAGGTCAATTTTGAAATCATTCTTTTCAAAGGGAAATTTGAGTATAAATATCTTTCTGGTGCTATGATAAAATTGTGGATGGCCAGAGGTCCCCTATAAATACAAGTACTTCTTTTGACTTGTTTTGTTTTAAACAATACAAGAAAAGCAACTTTAATTGGGATTTGATGGAGGGAAAATGAATTAAACATAATGGTAAAGCAATAGAGAATTTGTGATTATTGTTGTTAAGTGCTGTTGACTCATAGAGACCCTTAAAGGGTTTCTGAGGAGCAGCTGGTATTCTTGAACTGCCACCCTTGTGGTTCATAGTCCAGTGCTGATCCTACAGCACTACATAAACGAAACATGTTATATTATCCTATCTATAATCATATAAACAGTTTAGATATGCAAAATGCTAATTATTTGTTTGGGTCTTATTTTGATTACCAATTTCTAGGTACAGGGAGTATTCCCTATCTAAAACTAACTAACTAATCCATTGTTGGAGTCCTAGTGTGGCGCTGTGGATTAATGCACCAGACTGCAAAGCCATTTGAACTGCAAGGTCAGCAGTTCAAGCTCTCCAGTCACTCCTTGGAAACCCTGTATAGGGTCACTATGGGTCGGAACCAATTCGACCGCACTTAACAACAACAACAACCCATTGTTGTCAAGCTGATTCCAACTCTGAGTGGCCCTACAGGACAGTACAGAACTGCCCCCATAGGGGTTCCAGGCTGTACTCCTATGGAGGAGAGGGTGGGTTCAAACCATCCACGTTTGGGCTAACAATCATGTACTTTAACCACTGTGCCACCAGGAATCCTCTACCCTAAAACTACCCTGGTCATATTTTAATCCTACTTCCATATTTCTTATGTCCTCTTCTGCCTAACAACTGCATTCTACAGAATTAGTGAATTTAAATCAGGTTAAAATAGATTATGCACATTATCCAAGCAATCTGTAGAGAAAATTTTAATATAATAAGTGAAGACATGTAAGATACACCCAGATGTTAACATACTGGTAATTGCACTCCTAGAGTAATTGGAAAGACAGAACAGGACAGAAACAATTTTGAAATAAAAACAACTCCTATGAAATTTCCAAACCTGATAAAAAAAAAAAAAACCCATCAATTGACAGACTCAATAAACTCTGAAATTCCATATGGGAATAAGTACAAAGAAAGCCGCAGTAAACATCATAGTCAAACTGCTAACAATGAAAAGCAAACAGAGAAAAAGTATGCATTGCCTTCAACAGTAAGATTGATGGCTGACTTTTCAACAGAATGTATATGAGAAAGGAGATAATTAAATAATATCTTAAAGTGCAGAAACAAACAAACAAAACACTGTCAATTCAGAATTCTTTACTAAGTGAAAGTACACTTCACAGATGGTGCTGAAATAAACATGCTTTCAGAAGGAGAAATCATTGATAGAAGCACTGCACTTAAGAAACACTACACTACAATTTTTCAAGATAAAGGAAAATGATCCACAGAACTGTAGGAAGTAATGCAGAGCACTAAAAACAGTAAATTTGCAGGTAAACAGAAATTAATTCTGAGAGCTAAATGTTGTTTTAAGATGCTATTGAGTCAGTTCCAACTTGTAGCGACCCTATTTACAACGAAATTAAACACTGTCTGATCCTGTGCCATCCTCACAATCACTGTTAACCTTGAGCCAATTGTTGCTGCCATTGTACCAATCCATCTCGTTGGGGGTCTTCCTGTTTTTCAATGACCCTTCACTTTACCAAACACTATATCTTTCCCCTCCACTTTACCAAGAATGGTCCTTTCTGATAACATGTCGGAAGTATGAGAGATGAAGTCTTGCCATCCTGGCTTCTAAGGAGCATTCTGGCTGAACTACTTCCAACACAGATTTGTTTATTCTTCTGGCAATCCCTGGTACTTTTAATACTCTTCTCCAACACCATAACTCAAATTCAATTCTTCTACAATCCCCCTTATTCACTGTCCAAATTTCACATGCATATGAGGCTATTGAAAATATCATGGCTTGGGTCAGACGCAAAATATCATGGGAGCAGAAAGTCCTCAAACTGACAGATTTTATGCATTAGATATCTTTGCACTTGAACACTTCAAAGAGTGCAGCTGATTTGCCTAATTCAGGGATGGGAAACATTATTTTTGCCAAAATGTATTATATCATTTGTGGGTCATAATTATCAATGAAATATAAAATTATCAATCTGCTCTATTTGATCACACAAATCTGCTCTATTTGATTCAATTAATTCACCCCTAATGAGAAGGAGCTCTGGTAGCGTAGTGGTTACGAATCGGGCTGCGAACCTTAAGGTCAGCGGTTCGAAACTACCAGGTGCCCCGCAGGAGAAAGATCAGGCTTTCTACTCCCGTAAAGATTTATACCCTCAGAAACCCTATACAGGGTCGCTATGGGTCAGAACCGACTCGATGGCACATAACAACAACGAGATGGTTGGAGTTCTGGTGTGGCACTGTGGATTAATGTGCTGAACTGCAAAGTTGGTTTGGATCATAAGGTCGGTGGTTCAAGATCACCAGCTGCTCCTCGGAAACCCTATACAGGGTCGCTATGGGTCAGAATTAACTCGATGGCACTTCACAATAATAATATGATGGCTGGAACTGCAATTGGCTTGGCAGGGTCAAATGATTTTTGTGGACATTATATGGCATGCAGACCAGACATTGCCCACTCAGTCCTG